GCGTTAATCTTCTCGTAAACACGTTTACAAAAATGTTTCCAATGATAATCTAAGTTTGTAGCAAACAAGTTTATAAGAAGCCAAATCTAACTATATAATCACAATCCTTCATAAAATAAGAATATTGGGTTGCGAATCGGAACTTCATCTTTTATTTATTATCAGAACGTGGTGTGGGGTATTTTTAAGCAAAAAGGTTAGTATTAGAATCAGAATTTTTCAAACTACGGAATGATTACAAAAACATGAGGAAGATAGAAAAAAATGTTCGGCAAGGTTGGGAATGTAATCCTTTTTGCAAGTATATGGCTTTTTTCCTTTAAAAAAGGAAAGATTTTGGCAGAATTTGAGTTGATTTTGTTGAATTCATTCACACAAGAGTTTCATAAGCGATATCTTGTCTTTATTCAATAATCATATTCCTCTGAGAACCTAATTAGTCCAAATTTGCGTTGGAGCGCGCATCACTCTTTGCAACAGTCTAAACCGTGCGCCACAGTTGAGGATCGTAGTGACCTTCATCGTCCACAAAGGGACAATATGCACGTACCTATATGTACATGGATATTTGTAGATTTTTCTTTCCGTGATACGGCAAAAAAGGAAATTTGACCAGATTTGCTGGACGAGGTTTTTTGAAGGAACGTTAGTAATCATTCGGGAGTAGACCTCTAATTAGACCTGTACGTGGTCAGTTCTTCAAAACACCCTTTTGTAACGCTGTAAAATCAAAAACAAAAGTGCCTTGCATCCTCCGTGCGCCTCCATTTTCATGACACATATAATTTGCTGGAAACACGAAAAGCATATGAACGTGTAGGGAAATATTTTTGGTATCTGAGCCAATATTTGATTTAAAGTCTCTTTCACGGTGGAGGAAAAAATTTCGATCGAACAACAAGTTGTATTTTACTCGTCTGATACTTTAGGTCGCCGACTAATCTCCTCGTCCCCAACACTTAAGTCAGCGGGTGAACGAGCTCACCGAAAATTATGGAACTCGACAATATATTCCCTGCCTGCAGTGAAACGGTCTATCCCAGAAAATGAACGCAGAGCTGGAATTATTGGTACACAGGCTATCGAATAACTAGTAATAGTCTATGGAAAAGCTCTGATCGGCGAAACTGAAAGCACAAATCTTTTCATTTGCCTACACTGTTATCAAAATAGCTTTTCCCAAGACCAAGCACATTTTTGAGTTTGTTGGGACCTGTGCTGTTGAAAGAGCACACGTAGTCTGAGGCAAGAGTTTTGTCCATTAAACGCTACAGTGCACGTATTTCCTGATCACATTGGCGTCCTTGTGAGAAATTACCTCCACCGACGTTGAATACTTCAAGTATCCCAGTCAAAGCGCTGTACTCTTGAAAGGAAATTTAGTAATACGACACTTTACGAAAAATTTCATTACAAAAAATGTTCTTCTAAAGCGATTCTTGTGAACAAGCGATTATGCGAACACCTCTTTATCAGAGTGTTTTCTGACCTCCCTTATATCCAAATGGAATTTGATACATATTTTGGGCCTTTCAGAGACCCCTACAACTAAGAAATCGGCTGAACATGCTATACTACAACATAAAGGCGCTGCTTATGCGTGTTGCAGTTCTCTGAGCAACTGATTGATCACTGCAATGCCGAGTGGTCTTTTCACTCGACGTGCAGTGTGACATGTTCGGCTCCGATTGCCTTAGTTTTAGGAGCTCGGTTGAACCGAAAGGCACCGTGCTCCCGATGAGGCTTGTTAGAAACCGGGAGCGCCCGTCTACTAGAAGTGCTATACTGGTTCTTTGAAAGGATTGAAGTAGGCAATGGTACAGTCGATGGCTTAAGAAAAGAAAATAACAGAAGAACATCTCCATCCCGACACCATCAAGCCGTTGAGTAATATTTTCACATTGCGGAAGTTAAATATCTCGGCGTCGGTTCTTCTGCGTGATTGATATTTCCTGCGAAACTGATTGAACAGAAAGGGGCCTCTGAGATCAAGTTTTTTATTCTAGTTCTTCAACTTTTGTCATAAACACTAAACCCTTCATTGGAAAAATAAGAACGGAGGTGCTGTTTTTCTATCTGAATTTCGATAACTACAGCACAACAAAGCAGGTCGTCGCTCAGCAATCGAACAGAAACGACACAGAGCTGTTTATTCATTTATATTTAGCAGTCACAAGTTTTCCATAAAAAAGCCGATGAGTCAACAGCGTTGACTATGCTTTCAGTTCTTTTTTATTCGGCTGAAAAACCATAACATTTTACATTCAGATTCGAAGATTTCTCACTAATGATTGTATTTGGAAGAATCTTCGCTTCCTTCAGGCACTAGTTCAGTGAAACTGACGATACGCAAATGCGTTCCGCAACATATTCCAACTGCCTATGTGTGGAAGCTCAAATGACATCTTTTTCAGAAGAATTCGTCAAAATAAACGTTTTTTTACTAATATTCCCATGAGCCAACCGTTGAGTTTTTCATTAGGCTGGTACCGAAGGAATTATGGTCTCAGCATGTTCAAATTTACTAGTTGTTTCTAACATTTTTATTCAGACAAATGTAGTTATGTTATACCTCATTTTAATGCTCATTTATCGCTTGAGATTTCATTCATTTCACTATGGAGAGGACAATAGGTTATTCTGCAAGTTTTGGCGCTGGAGAAATAAGTGCCTATTTTTTTGCCACAAGTAATCAAAGCCGCATGAATGTGGTACCTTACAGTTACGCATACTTGTAGGCGTTTGGTATATAACCTTCGTAAACTTGCTTAAAGATGGAGTAGTGGACAAACTCATTTGCTACTCATGCACGAATAGCGCGTAGGAGGCGTGAGACCAAAATTCTAAAGGAGCGGCGCAAGATCAGTGGAGCTTTCTGTAGATGGTCCAAGCACCAAGACATCTCCATCTTGAAGCAAGTATAGCTAAGTTGTACAATAAATTGCCTGCAAGAAAATGCGTTACTCCAGAGTGTTTTCTTCAGCTTTTTCGTAAATCACCTCCTAACCGTCCTTCCTGTGTTGGTGTCATTGCCCCAAGTTCCATCAATCTTGTGGGCCGCTTCACTACCACTTCGTGCCACTAGTACATGAGTAGCAAGCAAATTTGCTCATGAGGAATGTCCCAAAAAGAATAATACCTTAACTCTTGATAGACCTCGCTCAAAAACAATAATTAATACCTCCCTATTCGACTATCTTATAGACCTCGCCCAAGAAATAAATTAAAAAGAACTAAATTAAGCTAGCTAAACTAACTACTGAACGGTCCTGGAGGGCAAAACAGACGTCTGTCCAACGTAAAGACATAACAAACGGCTCAAAACATGTTGCATCATTCATAATCTAATAACATGTTTTGAGCCTTTATAAGATCTGGTTTGGCAATTTACAGTATTAGACAGCTCTTTTGCCTTTCCAAGTACATCGATAGTACAGTGTCCTTCGCTTCAGCCCTCTCTTGCATAGGATATACCTTCACTTGCAAAGAAATTGACGCCAAATTATGTAAATTAACGCATGTGGAGTGAAAAAATCCGCAACATTGCAGTGATCACAGTCAAGTACTCGTGGCTGATAGAGTGAATCATGCCTTTACTTTCGATTGTTTATATAAACCCCTTTCAAAAACAACAGTAATCTGATAATCTGACAGCTTTATCACTCGATATGCTGTGATTTAGGCAACTCGGCGTCGTTTTCTATAAATGGAGGTGTATATCTTTGGAACGGATTGACTGAAGCAAAAGACACCCCATTACTGATGAGCCTGGGAAGGCGAAACGGACATCTATTAGTGCACAAGTGGCATACCATACCCCATAAAAGGCGCAAAACATGTTATTAGTTTATCAAAAAAAAAGTTAGCTAAAAGCAGTTTTTGAAATTGATTCTATCAAGACTACATGAAGTGTTCTAGAAAAAATCAACTTCGGCCATCATACGTTGTCTGCCATTTGAAGCCTTTGCAAATAATTGCGGTTTCGGACTGAATCAAAAGTGCAGTTACTTCTGCACTAACCTAATACTGTCTAATCAAAATGTTGGAATGTTCACTAACGACTATTTGCGTAAGCAAACACTTTTTTATGTGTATCAACGGTTGGAATCATAAAGAGGTTGCTAATGTGATGCGCTGTGATGGTTCAAAATTAAAACAACGCATATCTCTGATTCATATTGAACGTCGCTATGGGTCACAATTAGTCATCCTTATTGAGGACCTAGTAAAAAGTTGTTTTAAGCCTTTATACTCAAAATTTATAAGGTTTCGCCCTTAACAGAGCCACGAGGATTGAGTCGAGTGTCCAGGATCATTGGTTTTCTTCCGCTATTGATCTTCACAACCGTCACGTTGAAATGAACAAGTACTATTGAGCACCGCAAAAATGGAATATAATCCTCAGCGTCGCCCTCTTTTAACTTTCATGCTGGACTCCAGCCACGTTGATTACTATTTTACGCAGCTCTCCTCATGAAATGACGCTGTGAATCAACTTTATTCATACGATTTTCAAGACAACCAGTTTTGTTAATACACTGATTAAACCCAATATGTGGAGTACTGTGCAAAAACGTTTACGTCAGCCGGGATTCGAACCCAGATCTCACTTTTTCCGGGAGCGTATGCTAACCATTGCACTACCGACGCGTTTTGCACGGCACTCTTGTTTACGCTATAACGCGTTGTCTGCCAATAGCCAACCGTCGACGGCTATTGGCACTGAACCCACTTGTGTTGACAGACATTGGATATCGATAAACAGTCTAAATTCGTTCTATTCTGACTGCCACTTGCAGTGGTATGATCTTATACTATACCCAATATGTGGAGTACTGTGCAATGGTCAAAATAGAAGGAATTTAGACTGTTTATCGATATCCAATGTCTGTCAACACAAGTGGGTTCAGAGCCGATAGCGGCTGCCCCGCGAGACCGTCGACGGTTGGGTGTTGGCAGACAACGCGTTATAGCGTAAATAAGAGTGCTGTGCAAAACAAGCGTCGGTAGTGCAATGGTTAGCATACGCTCCCGGTAAGAGTGAGATTTGGGTTCGAATCGTGGCTGACGCAAACGTTTTTGCACAATACTCCACATATTGGGTATAGTATAAGATCATACCACTGCAAGTGGCAGTCAAAATAGAAAGAATTTAGCACTGATTAAAATTCGCGGACACATCACTGTTGTGTTCAAGGTGTAAAAATAATGTGTGGCAGGATTGTTCCTCTTTCAATAATCATTCAAAGCAACACAGGAGTGCTCAAACACGGAACTGCTACATTATGATTTGCTACAGGACGGAGCTGCTTATTTGCTTATTCAGCTCCGATCGATGTTTATGAAAAAATTTATAAAGAAGCAGATGATTGAATAGCGCTGAAAATGCTTCCGGTTTGCTCGCAAAACAAGTGAGATTTACTACCTTTTGAGTTAAACTACTTTTGCTCAAACTGGTGTATGTCACTCACGTGTTGTCGTAAAATTTTTTATAATTACTGTTTTCCTTCTTCAAGCAAAACGCGAGGTGTTACAATAAAATTTATTCACAGCTGACGTTTCGGCAGTTTGCCTTCTTCAAAGCCTGGAAAGGTCAAATTGTCCGCAATCCAATAAGCTAAACACCTCCAATACTCCCTTAGAAAAAAATCACCAGACCTAGATTTCAATCGCATCAAGCACAAAATCAACTCTCAACATACTCACCGCTTTCTATATGTGTTCCACCGAATGATTCAAGTGGAGACCACCGCAAATAGATCACATGGGCTCGTAATGCATCTTACCCATCAAAATAACAGTCTTATATACTGACTAAAATCACGTGTGATAGCGAGGCATTCCTCCTTCTGGTTCATAGTTGGATTGGTGATAGTAATCCAAAGTGCTTCAAGAAGTTTTCGCGCTGATGTTTTTTGTTCCTGCGCAAGGATGGCGACTTCAATCTCAAAATCAGCTCCGTCGTGTTTCTGTTCTCTATGCGTCCCTAGCGGGGTGTTCCGTCTTTTAAGACGCTTATCAGCTAGGTGTTCTTCTATGCGGGCATAGAGCGGCCTACCCGTTTCGCCAATATATTTATCGCTACACGCTTTGCAAGAGATTAGGTAGACTGTACCTACGCTCGTGCAATCACCGCCTCTGCCGTTAGGACATATTTTACAATCTTTCACTATACAGAGACGGTCATATAAGCGGTAGCGAACTAGTTGGCGTATTAGAGTATTCGGTGGTATTTCAATAAGAGCCACCGATTGCTCTAAACTCGTTCTTTTCAAACAGCGTTTCATAGCTGTACTAATCTCATTTGAAAAGAACGGGAGGATGAACGAGATTTTCCTTTCATTCGAGTTTTCGTTCGGAGGCGCACTATTTCCTCTAAACCTAAGCAGAGGGGCTACAAATTCATACTCCTTAGGTGGCTATTTCCCGAGCTAATTTCACGGATTCTACTCTCTGCTCCTCTCTAGTACATACGCTGGCTGCTGTTCGAAACATGTTCTTTACTAGCGCCTTTTTCGTATGTGAGGGATGAGAAGAGAGATAGTGCACCAGGATATTTTTACTACTTGGCCTCCGGTACCACTATGTGATGTAGCCACTCTCGCTCAAGCTTATTTGCACGTTCAAGAAAGGAAGCCAATGATCTTTTGGTATCTCACGGGTAAACTTTATATACTCTGACTGATCATTCAACAATCTAAAGCAATTATATAGCTCCTCTTGAGTGGAGCAGATAACCAAACAGTCATCTATATACCGACAGTAGAGTAATGGCCGGAGATCCATCACTGGTGCTTCCACTTTCGACATAAAGGCAATCGCTAGGCTAGGCGCCAGTCGCTGCCCCATCGCCAGCCCTCTGATTTGTGCGAAATACTTCCCGGACCATCTGAGCATTTAAAAAATTGAAATTAAAAATTAAAATTTTTATTTAAAAAATCAAATAAAAAATAAAATTTAAAAAATTATAAATTAAATTAAATTATTAATTAAATTATTAATTTCAAATTAAAATTGTAAAATTTTTTATTTAAAATGAACTGCAGGGAGGAATGCCTCGTTATCACTTGTGGTATGGGTCATTATATATGACTGTTGTTTTGATGGGTGGGGCTCATTACGAGCCTATGTGTTCTCCTTCCCGTAATCTCCGTTTGAATCATTCAATGAAACACATATAAAAAGCGGTGAGTACGTTGAGAGTGGATTTTGTGCTTGATATGATTGAAATCGAGGTCTGTTGATTTTTTCTAAGGGAGTAATGGCCGTGTTTGACTGATTGGACAGCAAACAATTTGACCTTTTAAGGCTCTGAACAAGGCAAACTGCCGATACGTCAGCTGCTGAATCAATAAAGAAAATATATAACACCTCGTGTTTGGCTTAGAGAAGAGGATTAGGATGTAAAATTTCTTAGTCAGAAAACTCTCCGTTCCGATGGTAATTCTGCGAACTGACGACTAAAATCGTTTATCGAAATGTGAAAAAACTGAAAACCGGATATTCACATAAAACAGCTCCACGTCGGCAAGTGGAATCACAAACTGAGGGTAGCAGATGATAAGCGTTTTACTGTTGTGTATAACAAACAATACTATTTGTCATAGCGCCATTGCAAGTAACAGTCTTAATTGCTTGAAAATCTAACATAAACAACTAGACCAAAAGGCGACATTCTTGAATAATTTCTCAAAACCACGCTCAATTTTCAACATGCCTGATGATCATTCTCGAGCCATGCATACGGTCTGCTATACAGCAACTAATAGATCCCGATACACGTGTTTCGACCATGACAGCCTCATCAGTCGGGCGGTACCCTTCGTCTTCATTTAAGCCAATATGAAGAGTTGGGATCACTTGAGAGGATTGGCAAAATAAAGACGAAGGGTGCAATCCGACTGATGAGACTGTCAAGGTCGAAACACGTTTATGGGGCCCTGTAAGTTACCTTACAAAAGGCCACGTGCATGGCTTAACAATGATAATCAGACATGCTGTGAATCGGTTCCAGGAGAGCTGCAACGAGCGTCACAACCGTTAGGCCCACGGCGTCCCAGTTTTTCTTTGCCGGTAGTTGAATTGCCGCAGATGGAAAAATCGTAGCGAATGAATGTCTATTGCTTAGTCCATTTTTAGATTTTTAGAAAATGCACGGCATGAATTGAGTAGAAGTGACGATATACAGTGAAAACAACGTGTCGGAAATTCAAGGTACCTCTTTTCAAGCATTTGAATGATTGAGATAAACCTCTAAAAAATTTGAAACTGTTGTAAAAATGAAATGAGAGTTCACCAAGCGAAATGTACAATAAATCTTGTTTTGTGTGCATGTCGTGGAAAATTGCGAGCTATTGATGGCGTTCAGCAATTATCCACCCTGGACAAAAATTCGAAACATTCGAAAAGGTGATTTAAAAAGCCTCGTTCGGATTTCACTCACCGCCCACTTTACTGTCTTTTTTTGAGACATTGGCAAATTTCATCAAAGTATACCAATGTTACCCCTCATAATGTGAGCTGATGACTTAATGAAGTCATTCTCGCCACGCCCAGTTCTGACACAGTTTCCCCTATAAATCTTCATATACGCGATCCTTGGTGTCACTTCACTACCCGCTTGTTTCTCTTGCTTTCGGTGAAGTTCTGCAGCCTCAATCACCTGTATCACCTGTCGTCTTGTTGATCGTCGAGTGACTCGAGCGAGTACCAGCAACACTTTCATTTTCCTATCAAGAGTAGCCCAGTGGGTCCTCCTCGCTCTGGGGATTCGCTGAGCATCATATCATTCTTCTATCGCTTTCGTGAAGAAATCGGACCAACGGGTCAGTGGTCTTCCTTTAGAGCGCTTGACGTCCCGAGGAATCCATTCGGTAACGGCTCTCGTCCATCGCTTGTCGTTGAAGCGCATCACGTGTCCGGCCCACCTCATTTTTGGTATCCTGGCGTGTAGAACGGCGTCTCTGATTTTCGATCGTTCACGTAGGTTGGAAATTTGGATCCTTTCTCTCATTTGCGAGATACGTGATACTCCTTGCATCGATCTTTTGACTGCGCGTTCAATAACGCCAAGTGATCTTATCTCGCTTGCGTAGCGACCAGGTTTTTGCTGCATACGTTAAGGCAGGGATAATCGTCGAGTCGAAAAGGTGAGCACGGAGTCGAATGTTTTTAATCCTCCATACTACATCTTCGATGTTCTTAAACGTTACTCAAGCCGCTCGTTTCCTCCTGCTCAACTCTGGAGCTAGGTCGTTCATCATGTTGATTTCACGACCTAGATATACGTAACTGGAGCATTCGGAGATTGTCGTTCCTTTGAGCGTGGCTGGGGCATTCAAAACTCATCCGCTCCATAGCCTTAATAGCAAGAGGAATTCCATAAACATCCTGAGTAGTGTCAAGCTGATAAGAACATCGTAGCTGAAAAAATGCTATATGTTGTTCTCAGAAATCTCCTATGACCAACTATCTGTTAACTCTAAAATTGCTCTATAACTACAGCTTTTTTCGTTTTAATACTACGCGACATATTGCAGTTTGTTCTGACAGCCGACAATTCAGCAGTTTCGCTTTTTTGGAGCCTGGGAGCTTCAAGTTACTCACATCCGATTTAGCCAAACACCATAATTACTTCTTTGAAAAATTCTTCAAACCTAGAGTTTAATCGCATCAAGCACAAAACAGCTATCCATCGCTTTCATAGACCTTCCACTGAGTTCAAGTGGAGATCAACCGCGCTGAATTCACATTACTTTTAATGTACCTCTTAGATCACCACTCTTGAATTCTGTGTCACGTGACGCGTAATAATGAGGGATTCTTCCCTGACGTTCATGTTCACTTCGTTAATCCAGAATGCTCCCAAAATCTGACGCCTTCAAGTCTTACATTCCTGTACACAACTCAAAAGTCTGTTGGCAAAACGTTTTGAACTGAAAGTTATGCTTTGCTATCGTGATGCAATAATTCATTTCAAAGATTTTCTCATAAAACTACATTTGTAAACGTCAGCGTTTTCTCGACTGCGAGCGTTTTAAATTTGAGAAAGTCGAAACTTTATGTTGCAACG